CAGGCCCTTTCTTTCAGAACATGCAACACAACTCCTTGTTCAAGCTCTTGTTCTATCCAGGCTGGACTATTGCAATGCTCTCTTGGCAGATCTTCCAGCCACTTCTATCAAACCTCTACAATTAATCCAAAATGCCGCTGCAAGATGAATCTTTAATGAGCCAAAAAGAACGCATGTCACACCTCTGTTCATCAATTTGGCAATTTTAGTCGGCAAAATGACTAAATGTAAATGTAATGTAATGTTTGCCTACAAAACCACCACTGGCTCTGCACCCATTTACCTAAAATCATTACTTCAGAGTTATGTGCCCTCTAAAATATATATATATACACACACAGTGTCACTGTACATTAGAATACCTGCAAATACTAATGAAATCACATTGGTAAGGACAACAAAGCCTGCATTTCGACAGTCAAGGCAACATAATTTTCAAGAAGTAATGCAGTGATTGACAATTGTGAGGGTGCAGAGTGTAAGCGTATGAAATCTAACTTTAGTTCATTAGTGATGGTTTCGTAAAACAATTACTGTTTATCATGGGAGTGTGATGACGTACCTGCTTTGTTCTGTCTGCAGTCCATTTTTAAAGCCTCCACTTTCTCCTCCTTTAATTAATCACACAAGTTCATTTCATTGCATTAAAAAACTCAAAGCACCATATGAAATGCACGATAATGTAAACATACACATCAAGCACAGCAATGGCATTCATTTAAAGAAGAAAAAGAACTGCACCATTGGCTCAGCATCAGACTCTTCCTCTGATGGGCTGTTGTATTCCCTCCTCTTCCTCTTCTTCATGGGCTTCAGCATTTCATGCTCATGATAAATCACCTGTGCTTCAGCAATCCCTGCAGGACTAAAGCTTCCATACAGAACACCATACTGATAGAATAACCTCAATATCCTTAATCTGACTGTAATATGCACATGACTTTTACCAGAAATCTGTCTCATACATATTTATATATTGCATGAGTTAAATAGATGTGTAAGTCTGGTAGTTAATTTACTTTTCAGACATGGTCTCTCTGCGTAGCTCCGTCAGGTAAGTCTGTTTGGCCGATGTCTCAGTGCACTTGCTATGAGCTGGACTGTCCTGAGCCTCCATACGTGCTCTCTGAAGTCTGTCGGCCTCCACAAAGGCAGCAGACCGGACATTCCCACCCGCTGAGAAGTCTGCAAGCAAAGATTCCCGTTTGTGATGGTGCTATTGGAAAGACAAATGCTAATAGCTTTAAGATTTGATGCATGTTCTCGATGGTTACTGAACTTTTCATTGGACTACTGTTCTTCCAGCTTGAGTTAAACTGGAATGAATTTGCTGTTTCCACCCAATTGACATTTTACTGATAAAATGTTGGGTGTAATAACGTTAATAAAAAAAAAAGTAAAATATATAAAAAAAAATGTATATATAACAAATTCTGTATCGTTCATCTTCTTAGATTTACCCTAATCTTTGTAAAATGGAGAGCACAACTGGTTATCTTACTGCTTAGGCTACTAATTTCACACATAATTTAATATTATTAAATTAAGAAATATTAGGAAATATCACAACATGACGTTGCTCATCTACGAAGACTGCAGCTGCCTTTATCCGAAGAAGACCATGGGTCTGGATACAACAGGGCAGCTCAATCTTATTCTGTATGCAAAATTTAAGGGTCCATTTAAAAAATATTGCTATGTAAAAATGTTTAATAATTGCATACAGCGACAACCTTTAATGCAACCTTTAACATGCAGTTAAACCAGCTGCGGTTTGACATGGCCATGAAAGTCTGCCTGCAATGTGCATTCAACTGTAATATGCAAAGTGAAATATAGGGGAGAATAGAAATACTGATATGGTGAAAAATGTTCAGAATTTATATTTTGTTAGGCCATTTCCCTATGTATGAAGTCCAAATAGATATAACGCATCCCTGAACATTACAGTGAACCAGCACTTAAATAGGAGTAACATACAGACACATATATAATTCAGTCATGTGACACCATTTGCATAAAGCCATTTTTCTTCGAACTAGTTTTTCAGGACATTTAACGTATCAGCATAGAATTTGTGTGCTAAAATTCAATACTTGCAAAATTGTACTGATAATTAGCATAATAATAAAGAGACTGGCTAACAGTAAAGTAACTCTTTTATGTACTCATCAAAGCCAATTTTTACTCCTGCTTTAGTGTTAATTTTGAGCCTTGACAGATAGCCAGACTTCAAAACATCATTAAGCCATGCTTGTAAGAATGATGTAATAATCCAGAGGCATCTAATGAACAATTACCTGGTTTTTCAGCTTGTTTGAGCTCCATAACAGTTGATTTTGTCTGCGCTCCTTCAGTGGTCAGGTTAGCAGAGCCTATTTTCCCTTCACTGATCACTTCCAGTGAACCAGTGTCACTAACACATAACTGCAGAAAGCAGAGTCGCATTATTGTTATGCAATAATAAAAAGTAATATATAGTGCCTTCAGGAAGCATTCACCACACTATATAATTATTTGTTGTAATGTAAAATGCTTTCTTTTCCCACTCCAGTGATAAGATTTCATCCACTTCTTCAACAGAAATTGCCTTTTGACTGGTGAGAGAGCAAGTTGTCTGCAGTTTATTTGACATTTTAAATCACCAGACCTTCCCTCTCTGCACTGGTCATCGTGTGAACTGCACTCCTCTGGGCTGATATCAGAACAGGCAGATCCTTCAAGGTATCTTGGAGTGGAGCGGTGTCTCAATCACACCGGTTAACCACTGGGGTGCCTCAGGGCTTGGTGTTTGGCCCTCTCCTCTTCTCAATTTACACAAAATCACTTAGATTTCCTAACTATGGTAACATTACACTTCTGCCTGCCTCGTAGACACCTCGGCATGGAAGAAAAGCATTACCTTCAACTTAATCTTTTTATAATGCCATCCATTTCAGCCAGGGAGTTGGGGGTAGCATTCGGCAACCATTTTAACTTCTCAAACCACATCACAAAAATCACAGTCATGCAAATTTACACTGTACAACATCAGGCATTTAAAATTGCTTGAGCATTTGATTTAACATTTGAGATGTTCCTCTGATTCATTATTTGAGTATATTATTTATTTTTGCATTGTTGTGGATTATGAAAATCAGTTATTAACCACAACAGTTCGTTTTGTTAGAGTTTATGCTTCACCATATGCGGCGATCAAATGGCATTTAACCGATCATTTGACAGGCTTTTTAAATTAGATTTTTTTTTTTTATTGTATTAGCATTGTATTTTCACATCATATGGCAGGTTATTTCAGGTGCAATTTTGGGCATTGGATTTATCCTTTGAATTATGTTAGGAAAAAACCTTCCTGGTCCCTTAGCACGAAATTCTTATGTTGCAGAATTCCTAACTTGTAACTTGATTTGCATAAAAGCATCTGCGAAAGGAATGAATGCATTTAGACAGCTTTTATATTTTATTGACTAAACTGACACTCATTCAATCTGTTTTCCACTCCCTGAATCTGGTTTCACAATTATCTTCAGCAATCGTAATGAATATGTTAACATATCATGGTTAAACATTTATTTCAGATAAATATCACTGACTTTGTCACTCACGTGTGGCGAAAATGTTGTAATTGATCAAACAAGAGCTCTTTGTTCCCAGGTACTGATCTGCATTCAATCTGTTTTCCACTCCCTGTATCTGGTTTCACAATTATCTTCAGCAATCGTAATGAATATGTTAACATGTCATGGTTAAACATTTATTTCAGATAAATATCACTGACTTTGTCACTCACGTGTGGCGAAAATGTTGTAATTGATCAAACAAGAGCTCTTTGTTCCCAGGTACTGATCTACATCACATCTACATGTAGGCACAGAGGCGGCTGTCTTGTGCTTTAGGGCTGCTTTTTGAACTTGAAGAACTCGAGCGCTTGTTGCCATTAAGGTCAACACAAACAGACATTTTGCTCACCTTCAGATTGCTTCCAGGGAGGATGGCCATGCCCTCCTTCCAGCCCAGAACATGGACAATCGTCCCGCCAACCTGAGCAGGAAGTGATGCGGCCTCCAGTTCACTGCCTTTAATCGCCTTGATTGCATTTGGAGGCAGCTCCACTTTTGGCAATGGATGAGCACAAGCTTTGGGAAAATAAAAACTTTTTGTTTTCTTAAAAACTTTTTTTCCACAATATTTAACACCTCAAAGTATGGAGAAATGGAGTAAACAATTGTTCAGGAGGAGTATCCTGTCAGTCAAACTGCAAGAAAATATAAACAGATGATCGAGTCCCAAGCTCTATCACTGCACCTTGGACAGCAAGCCAAATGTATTTACCTTTTTAGTTTTAAAAAGAGAAAAACAAATATGGGAAATTCAATATAATACATTTACATTCTACACTGACTTCTATTCAACTGTAAGCACCTGGAAAAATGATTGTGGTGGTCTCCTGGGGTTTGAGCCGCTGTGCAGAACTGTCATTGGGAGCGTGAGAGACGCTGCTTTCAGTCGGGACATCTCCATCATGTGGCAGGACATCCAGGTCTGCTTTGGCACTCATAGCAAGACTCTGCTCAGTACCACTAACAACAGAGGATTGAGGACATCGTAGTATAGTATAGAAGTCAGTTCACTTTTCATATGGAACACTGGCAGAGAATGCCCTTCAGAAGCAGAATGTTGATGTTTGAAATAAAGGGAACAGCATTGTTAAAATGCTGTAGTTTATCAGATATTTTAAGAGGAAGACAATTAGAAAATCACAAAGAAAAATGAAAGAGAATCAGGATAATGCACAATGATGTTAATGCTCAACCTGTCAACTGATAGTGATGACCATTTTAATCGATGGTGATGCATAATCCATAAACTCATGGTGATGGTGGTGATGCTCGTCCCATAAACCAGTGGTGGTGATGATGGTGATGATTATGCATAATGCATAACTGATGGTGGTGATGTGAGCGAATCTCCAATTCCATGTCAAAAAGCATCAGTTCAAGCGCATCCTCTCCTCTCCCCAAAATAATCTTTACCCATGCAAAATGGCGGAAGTCCATGTTCCTGTGCAGTAAACTGTCAAGTAGGCGAACCATTCATTATTTCATCCCGTTCTTGCCTGAAACAATGCTTTATGAGGAGCATCCGATTCCGATGCATTTGGAAGGAAAAGACAGATGCGCTCAGTTATGATGATCGATATCAACACATATGCTGTAATTTCAAGGCAACCGCAGCTTAATTGCTAATTATAAGGGCTATTTAATAATTTCATGAAGAAAAAAAAATACGATGGAACACGCGTCATCATAAGTGTCCAGAAATGCATGCAAAGTAAAATCTATTTATATCGATCGCGTATTAATGGCATGATTGACATGAATAGTGTGTAATGTGAGGCCGATCAGATAATGAATTTATTCTCACCAGTGCTGGTCTTGCTCGGGAGGAGTATGATCTGCGCATGCGCGCATCAGGAGAGCACAATCCTTTGATGTTTGAAAGTGTTGCATTTACACCAATTCACATGAGACAGTGTGCAGCGTATAACACATCTCTGCTATAAGGATCATCTTTTACAACAACATATCTTTTAATATAGCTATTAATGGCACTGGAGCGAGGCGTTGGAGCAAACGAGTAAACTCCTAAATAAAAACAAACAAATAAATACACTCCACTGTCCACATTCAGCCGATGCTTTGGCATAGGACAGTCATAAATTTCTAGTAGTTTTAATCAAGTGATTGTTATCTGGGAATGGAAATGTAAATTTTAAAAATATCATTAGTTGAACAAGATCCGTTCTTTATTTGGATTCTGCCTTTGAATTAATCTGAACATTTATGTGGACGTGAACTAGAAATTTAAACAACTACATGTTTTTTCTCTATATTTCTAATTCTGTAGTGCATTATTTAATTTTCTGTTTTTCTTATATTATAGTGTTATAATTCCTATGTATGTCTGTACTTTCTTCTGCACTGGAAGCTCCTGTCACCAAGTCAAATCTCTTGTGTGTGTAAACATAGCCTACTTGGTAATAAAGCTCTTTCTGACTTCTGAATAATAATGCATATATAATGCAGACTTTGCTGTTCAAACATAGATAAAGATGCACTTAAAAAAAATCAGAATACTGAACATAACTTATGTCGTGCAAACTTTGTTAAATTCTGATTAAACCAGTCCCGGGAAAACGCCATGAGGGAATTTATCATAGTCACAAAACATCAGTGCATCAGTACTTTGTGCATGTATTTGGCTTTTGTGTTGTAAGATCTGTATCAACACAAAATCATGTCACATAGCTCTCACTATTTACAGTGCAATACAAAGCCTAAAGTGAAACTTCCCCACAAAGAGGAAGGTTTGCAGTTTATCGACCTCGTTACTGGACTTAATATGCATTACACTTGGCTTTAAAAGCATTAGAACACACATTTTGCTTTTCCATTGTGTATAATTAGATTTAAACCTCATTAGGGTTTAATCCATGAATTAATCTCATGACACCTTTCAAGACATTTTCACCACAAATCCAACTTGTATAACATTGTTAAAATCAGTGTGGCAACGTCATGAGCATAGGGTCGCCGTGATTTTGCCAAGTAAGACGTTACTGGATCAACATCTTTTGTTGATCCACACTCTAAAAAATGCTGGGTTAAAAAGGGACAAACCCAGCTATTGGGTTGTTTTGACCCAGCGGTTGGGTTCAAAACAACCCAACAGCTGGGTCAAAACAACCCAATGTCCAAAAATATAGACTTAACCCAATCCCTACCCCTAAACCTAACCCTACCCATAATTTATTCCTAAAATCAGTGTGAAATGATAGCTGATTACCAAGGGTGTAGAGGCACCTAATCCTGATCGTAAGCCTAAAACAGATATTTCCTGAAAAGTTATCCCTCAATTCTGATTGGTTAATTGGAATGTTGTTCCAGGATCAACAAGGATGTTGATCCAGGAATATGTTGTACTTGGTCAAATCACGCTCACCATGAACATACAATGTTGGGGAAATTGACTTTTAAAAGTAATCATTACAATGCTGCGTTATTCCATAAAAAATAACTAATTGCGTTACTTAGTTACTTTTTATGGAAAGTACACTCTTAAAAATAAAGGTGCTTCACGATGCCATAGAAGAACCTTGTTGTCTAAATGGTTGCATAAAGAACCTTTAACATCTGAAGAACCTTTCTGTTTCACGAAAGCTTCTTTGTGGCGAAAGAAGGTTCTTCAGATTATAAAAAGGTAAGAAAGAGATGGTTCTGTGACTGAATGGTTCTTTGTGGAACCAAAAATGGTTCTTCTATGGCATCGCTGATGTGAAGAACCTTTTAAGCACCTTTATTTTTAAGAGTGTAATACGTTACATTACTTTTGTGTTACTTTTTGTCGCTTGGGCTGGGCTTGCTTATTTAATTATGAATAACAAAAACACAAAAAAAGTTATATTTTTGGCAACTGTAAAGGCCCTTTCACACCAAAAGTGAAATTAATAAGCTTCAGGCTGAAGGAAGTGACTAAAATGGGAAAAAGTAACTTCAATATTTCATCGCAAATGTAAAAGTAATGTGTTATTGACTAGTTACTTGAAAAAAGTAATCTGATTACATAACTAGCGTTACTTGTAATGCCTTTCCCTCAACCCTGCAAACATAGCACAGCACACGAGTTTTTGCAAACCAACCGTTAACAAAAAACAAGCCAACATAAAGGTTACGTCCAGTGTTTTTATTGAGTAAAGACAGAAAACGAGAGAAGTTCTGACGGATGTTGAGTCCGTCATCTAAAGCACGTCCACTGCATCCATGGCCGCTTCCTCAAGCACGTCGACTCTTTCCGCGTGGACGTCTAGGGTATTCTGCAACAGCTCAGGACGCTCCTGAAACAACCACCACATAGACAAACACTTGTGGACGCAGCGGCTTCTTTTGTGCTTACACAGACACTTCCAGCTGCCAGACTTGGTGTCAAACGAGACGCGTGTCCTCCCAAACTGACACCATTTGTCCTCAAGGTCGGTGTACACTGAAAAGAAGACACATCTCTCTGAAAGGTCATGTTCGCCCCAAAAAATAGGGTACACACAATCCACCCCCTGTATACATGCCCTAGAGTTGATCGCCTGGCAGTCGTGTCTCTCGGATGCGGACAGGAGGTGTTTGTGGCTCATCTCCTCCAGAGAGTTAATGCACAGCGGTGGAGGGGGAACGTAGAGCCGTGCCTGATTCGTTCGGAGCAGGTGACGGCATTCCTTCCCAGGATTCCCGCTCTGGGCCTGCGCTTTCATGAAATCCCAGCATTCCTCCAGCTCACAAAGCAGAATCTGCAGGGTGAAGGACTTGCGGATATGAATGGGCACTCTCGGCCCGTGCAGATATTTGGGTGTAACATAGATTGCATTTTTGGCATCTATGCATAAAATGGGCTGCTGGTCCTGGCCGTGCTGTAGTCTCTCGTGCCGTCTCAAATTTGACGTTGTGGTAAAGAGGATCCCACACTTTTGGCACGCTGCCTTGCTGCCTGGTGTCTTGTCTTCGTTGTCCGTTTGTAGGCTGTCTAACAGGACCGTTGTAGGCTGTAGCTCAACTGGAAGAGGAGGAAACTTTGAGATGAATCTCAGTTTGGGATATGGCTGTTTCCAAAACTGATCAGCCACTATGTGACCAGAGGTGGACGAAGTACACAAATCAAGAAGTACTTGAGTAAAAGTGCATAAAATATTATTTCAGTAATAACAACACTTTATTTTAAGGTGTCCTTGTTACATGTTTTATGTACTTACTATTATAATAACAATAACTTATGCATAATTACATGCAAGTAACCCTAAGCCAAACCCTAATAACCCTAACTATATAGCAAGTACATCTAGTTAATTAATATTACGCAGTACTTAAATGTATAATTACAGTGTAACAAGGACACCTTAAAATAAAGTGTATCCAATAAGTGTACTCCTTTTAAATTTTACTTGGGTAAAAGCACAAAAGTACTTGATTTTTAATGCACTACTTAAGTATTAAAAGTAAAAAGTACTGATTGATGAATGTTTACTTATTTTGCAATTTTATACACTCTATCCTCCTGTTATAAATACATGTCATTCACTGATTACTACTGATAATTACTGATAATTAAAGTGCGGTAACAAGTGAAAATAACAACAACAACAACATCATATAGTATAGGATGTGTGTTGGCAAATATAAATATACGATATGCATGGGGCAAAATGTGTTAGCATTTAAAAAACAAAACAAAAAAAAACTTATGCAAACACACTACTTTGCGTTATTTTAACGTTAATGATGTCAAACGATTAATCGCGATTAATCGCATCCAAAATAAAAGTTTTTGTTTACATAATATATGTGTGTGTTCTGTGTATATTTATTATGTATATATATAAATACACACACATACAGCATATATTTGGAAAATATTGACATGTATATATTTATTAGGGCTGCACGATAAATCGCATGCGATATTTAACGCGCATCTTGTCAGAAAAGCCGGTTCTGTAATCAGCGGTAAATCTCCATCACCTGCGTGCTTTCACATTGAGCAGCATTAACTA